TCCGCTTAAACATGTATTTTTATCACGCAAAATCACAATATTTGATCTTTAATAGCTCAGAAAGTATTGATTTATTCCGAAAACTTAATCTTACAAATTTTACTTAGAATTTCTCTTTCTATCGGTTCCTGGAGTTATTTTTATTAAAATAATTTCCACCCCCGAGAAGGGGTGGTATCTACCCTCAGGGCAAAAGCGCAAGTTGGCACTATGTCACTTTTGTTTCTTATGGTACCCCACCTACTTACCAATTTTCATGAAAATCGATGGAGGTTCAACGAAATCGGAGGTTGCAGCTGATTTTTGCCTTCATTGATTATACCATTATGAAAACAAAGATTAAACTACTTTCTTTGATACTGTTACATGTGTAACATGTGTTGTGTACTAACTCATTTAGATGTGATTTTATGGTAATTTAATGTCTGACATGCTACCTACTCTTAAAGTGCCAACAATTAGGGAGTTTACCCTATATTCTAATGTTTTCTTTTCTATTAATTTAATTCAAAATGATTAAATGAAATTAGAACGATATAGCCCACGGTTGTACTGTTGTTGTACAATCGTCATTGTTTAAATTGATTTTTGATATATTTATTGTCTCTGGTAGGTACGATTGATTTTATTTTATAAATAAAAGTATTTTTTAGTCTTATAGCTTCAAATTTTATTTTTTTCAAATAATACCTTGAAACAATGTTAAGAACAACTAGAACAACTTGGAACAACTAAAAAAATAATGAATTCCCAAACATGGGGGGCTATCTGAAAAACGGTTTTTTTGCCTGACAGCTTCAAATTTGAGTTTTTTCAAATAATACTTTGGAACAATGTTAGGAACAACTAGAACAACTTGGAACAACTTTCAAAACAACGAATTTCCAAACATGGGGGGCTATCTGAAAAACGGTTTTTTTTGTCTGACAGCTTCAAATTTGAGTTTTTTCAAATAATACTTTGGAACAATGTTAGGAACAACTAGAACAACTTGGAACAACTAAAAAAATAATGAATTTCCAAACATGGGGGGCTATCTCAAAAACGGTTTTTTTTGCCTGACAGCTTCAAATTTGAGTTTTTTCAAATAATACTTTGGAACAATGTTAGGAACAACTAGAACAACTACGAACAACTAAAAAAGTATTGAATTTCAAAACATGGGGGGCTACCATAAAAACGTTCTTTTTTGTCTGGCAGCTTCAAATTTGAATATTTTCAAATAATACTTTGGAACAATGTTCGGAACAACTAGAACAACTTGGAACAACTAAAAAAATATTGAATTTCCAAACATGGGGGGCTACCATAAAAAGGTTTTTTTTGTCTGGCAGCTTCAAATTTGAATATTTTCAAATAATACTTTGGAACTATGTTCGGAACAACTAGAACAACTTGGAACAGCTAAAAAAATATTGAATTTCCAAACATGGGGGGCTACCATAGAAAAACGGTTTTTCTTGTGTCGCAGCTTCAAATTTGAGTTTTTTCAAATAATACTTTGGAACAATGTAGAACAAACATAGAACAACCCAGAACAACCTAGATAATAATAAAATTCAAAAAGTGGGGGGCTAACTTCACAGAGGTAACATTGTCGCGGCTGTATGGCTTTGTACAATGGCCTTTCCCATTGCGGATAAGAACTACAGATTTTAGTAGCCACAAATTATTTATTAAAAGTTGCTATAAGCAGCGTAAAATATATTTTTTAAGTTACCTTCTAATAAAGTGGAATAAAAAGTACTTTATTTTGGACACAATGTACTTTTCTTCTACATTTAATATCCGATGTACTTTATTTGGATATAAAAAAGGTGGCAACCCTACCTGGAACAACTGAACAACAACCTGGAAACACAAAACTGCTATAAATGGTAGTGTTATTTTATTGTGGTCTGCTGTAAGGTGGAGGTTAGTTCTCCAGACGGGCGCTCCAATTTGAGCGGAAAATCCGCTATGCCCTACCTCTCTTAACTTTACATAGGTCGAGCTCCTTCTTGCTAAGTAAGGCACAATAAAACCATTCGTCCGTTCATAGACCAATAATATGTCCGTTGCATTGCACTTGATAAAGTCATTACATAGAGGAAACCATTAGTATAAAGTATAGTCATTACATAGAGGACCAATTTGAACAGAAAATCCGCTTTGCCCTACCTCTCTTAACTTTACTAGTCCAGTCAAAATAGACATTTGACTGAGGAATAATTCGCATAGAGCTGAAAATTGGCAGAGACGCTAAATACATCATTATAAATAAAATGACAAAAATCCCTTTCGATCATACTTCTGCAAAAAAAAACAAGATCAAACGAAAAAGATATGGTTTTTTCCATTTTCCTCGAAAACGGTAAGTTTTATCGTGAAAATAGGTCAGACAAAAGATGTAGACCATACAATTATCTACAAAAATGGTCCAGTCACTCAAGACTCACCATTCGCGAGATATCGCGGTTTTAATAATTAGAAAATTATTTTTTTTTGATGTATTTAACGTCTCTGCCAATCTCATCTTTATGCGAATTATTCCCCAGTTATGACTTATGTCCGTGTGCCAGTCGTCCGTTCATAAACCAATAATATTTCCGTCCGTTCATAATACCGTTGCATTGCATTTGATAAAGTCATTATATACAGCTACACAGCCGACTAATCATTAGCAACCACAAAGAATACAATAACACACGCACACACAATCTAACAATCTGTTTTCGGTTCAGAATTTAAACGATTTTTAATTTTAAACATGTATTAATAACAACTTTGTATTACTTTAGTGGATTGATTTCTTGAAACTATATTATTTGTTATTTTTCTATTGAACATTAGCTAAATTATTGGGTAAAACTCGGCTTTCTTTATTATAGGGTCTTATTAAACTTTATATTTACTGGTGAGTGCCCGCGAATTCGTCTGCGTCGAAATATTAGTTTCCCATACAAACTTCCACCCCCTTTTTCACCCCCTTCAAGGATGATTTTTAGGATAACTATAGTATGTCTTTTCCCGGGACTTAAAGCATCTTTAAACCAAATTTAATATAAATCGGTTCAGTGGTTTAAGCGTGAAGACGTAACAGACACACAGAAACACTTTCGGATTTATAATATTAGCATTGATTAGTATGGACGTTCAAGGATTAAGCTATATCAAAATCGATGGAAGTTATACAGACAAGAGAATTTATTCCAGTATTTCTTAGTTGCTAGGCAGCACACGGATGCGAAAGATGCTGGTTTGAATCCCGTCTGAATCCTGGACCAAGAGGACTTTATTTATAGTAAAATTTTCTTTAGATTTAAACACCTAGGAGTTAAATGCTTCTAAAAATATAAGTGTTTATAGCTATAATAAGTGAATTTATGTTAACATACATGGTTCTTAAGGTGGGAATCCACGTCAAAATATCTTTTCATTAATTTTCATCGCAAACCACCGGTTTGTTGCCACCCACCCACATGTTTCAGATTATCTACTTACATTTAATATGAAATATTAAGGATCCTGATTAATACTTAATGTAAAACTGAATTATAGCGCTGATTTCCGAGAGTAATCAAATTTAGCAATAGCTTATTATATCTTATTTTAAGCAATTAAATGCTAGATGGTTAATGTAAAGAAAATTTTACTAGAAAAATATCCACTCGGTTTCAGACTGTTTCAGATCCGGGCGGAAGATGCGGGTTTGAATCCCGTCTAAAACCAGGATCGAGTGGATTTTATTCCAGTAATATTTTCTTTAGATTTATCAATAGGTAGCGGTTATGTTCAGAATCCTCTCCTCAATAATTATGAGTAATGATACAAAACAAAAATTGCACAGTCTACGAAAATAGAGAGTGCTGGGTACTTGTCTCCCGTATATGTAAGCAAAGCGATTCCCTTATTTGGCATTTATGCAATGTGCTGACAAAGTCTTTGTTTTCTCTCGCATCTTGATCAGCACGAAAACAGAGATTTGGAATATGAATGCCTTTTCTTAACTACTTAAGTTTTATTCATTTTAAGCCTACCAGAACGTTTAGTAATTTAACATAATGGTACTAAATCTTTTTAATAAGCTGTGTGTCTCTAAATAAGTCAAAAGGAGGAGAAAGAAGAAGTTATACGCATAAACGCTTAGTAAAAAAATATGCTTGTAAATTTTTAAAACGCAATATGATATTAGTCAGATACAATTTATGTCTATCGGTAATTATATCGTTTAGACGCAAAGGGAGAAACGTTCATATAAATGATATACAGGCGACGCATAAAATGGTGTTTTAGGTGTTGTGTTCGTTCAAAGGAGACTAAAAATAAAAGAAGGCTTTGCGACAGCAGTTTCCCAACCGAGTGTTTTTATCGGTGTGGCGTGAAGAGAGCCGCGGGAGGGCGGCTCTCGGCGCGGCGTCGATAGCGCACCGGCCTGACGTCGCGCCGCACTCCGCACCGTCGCGAGGAGCGCGCCGCCGTCGCCACGCACGGCAGCCCTAGCGAGATACGCGGACCCCCGTCGTCAACGCGACCGATATTTGTCATCTTCACTGACTCTATCGCGATTCTCAAAATCCTAAGGCATCGTCATCAAAAATAGTGAATGTCCCTATGCATAATAGAGTTCTCGTGAAAACAAACACATCGCACAGTGCTTTTCGCGCAAGCGCGATTCCCGTGGACATGACGACAGCGGCCATCTTGGCCGAGGACGCACTTTCGCCTCGCCCCAGCCTCTGAGCTCGAACCAAAACCTAGAGATAAACCGACGAAAACGTGCGATGCGCGGTGGGCGAAGCTCCGAGGCGGGCACTCGTTGAGCCCGCAGCGCGTCGCTATCGATCCGGCCGCGTCATGGCGCTCGCGGAGTGAATGCGGACATCGGGACCGCGCTGCAGCCTTCGCGGAGCGGAGCGCCCGATCAGTGATAGTGATAGTGGTCGCGCGGCATGTGAGACAGAGTGTCGTGGTGGGTGGGAGGGCGCGCGGGCGGCGGCGGGCCCTGCTGACCGCGCGCCATGGGCGAGGAGTACGCGCGCTCCCCGTGCGAGCGTTTTCCGGCGGCGGGCGCATTCAGCGTAGCGCCGCCGGAGCGGCTCAGCCCGCCGCCGCCTGCGCCTCTGCCGGATCGCTTTTCGGCGTCACCGCGGCGGGTGCGCCGGTGTGCGGAGGCGGAGCGCGCGCGGCGGCCTCGCTACGTGCCCCCAGCGGCGCACGTGCCCGTAGAGCGGTATGTGCCCCGGCCGCCGGCGCCGCTGCGGCCGCCACCGCCGGTGTACTGCGGGCTGGCGTGCCGGCCGCCGCCGCCGGCGCCCCGTAAGTGCTGCGGGCCCGCGTGCCGCGAAGACATCTCCGGCTCGCCACCGTCGACGCGGTACGTGGATTACGTGGGCGCCGCCGCAGCTCGTCGGCTCGCGTGCACGCCGCCGCCTCCACCGCCACCGGCGTTGCAGCTGCCCTGCGAGCCCCAGGAGCCACCCTGCTGTGTGCAGGCGCGCAGACGTCCACAACCACCACACGACTGGTAAGTGTCCTGTAATATCCAATTTCGTCATTTGTAAATATGAGACAAGTAAACTGAACTATGTGTAAACAAAAGAGAAGATGTGACACTGCTACTGCTTCGTCTCTACCTGATTTCCTGCTACAGAACCACTACATTTGTAGGTACATAAATTGTACCTTAACGATCCCAAATAAAAAAAGAGCAAAAACAGATAAAAATATACGTAACATGGGGCTCACTGCATCGATCCGTAGTCTAATCGCGGATTACGTATATGTAGCTAGGTGGGCAGACTATGAAAGGATTTTTAACGATTCGCGGTGACGACGGGGAGGCTGTGCCGCTATAATTGGTTAATATTGATAACATGTGATTGATGAGTTTTGCTAACGACCGTCGAGTCAACGCACCACGTTTCTAGAAACGTTTACGTGCGTCATACGCGAAAGATGGATTGCATCGACGGCTATCTTAACATTATGAAAAAACCTTTCGTTTTTTTCTGTAGGCACTCTAGAGGTAAACAAAAGATCACAGGGTACGCAAATGACCCAGCCGAATCTTTGTGAATGTCAACCATTGTCAATCTTGCTGCGTTACTATATTTATAAAGGTGGAGAATACATACAATAGATCAATAGGAAGACCTATTTTTTCACTTTTAACAGTAAGTTTAATAAACAGATATTAAAATGAAACTTTTCTCAGATCCCCACAATTTTTTTGTCCTTCTTTAGCATTTTGCATTAGGTACACTTTCATTGTAATTAAAATATTCAGACATCAGCAGCAAGCGTTGGTGGTTCAGTGGTGGTATACTGGTCTGTCAAGCGGACGGCCTGGGTTCGATTTCCAGTCGAGGGAAGGCTTTTTTATTTTCCACTTTTTCTTAGCCGGAGGAACATTACTTCTAGTAAAATACCTACGACTGTTAAAAACAAGTTTAGCAAATGCTTCTAGAAACGCCGGGAGAGGTTACCCGTGCATCGAAATCTTATAAATCGGCGATTTTTTTATAAGGGTAGTGTGATAAACAGCATTAATTGATCTGCATATAAGAACTCCATCGTAATCGTGTGGTTAATGTATCGAAAATGATGTGTTAGGAACTCGGTGAGTAAAAAATAATTATCTAATACATCATAATATTAGCACAGAGGTGTAATCTTATAATGAGTAGTAACACTTTAGTTGTTGTTCTTGGGAATGTATTACTTATCTCTAATAATATTATAAATGCAAAAATGTATCTGTCTGTCAAACCTTATAAACCTTTAGTGAAAACATACAGACAGAGAGATGGTGGGGGACATGGTTTTAGGGTTCCGTATCCAAAAGGTAAAAACCGGACCTATTATTAAGACGCCATTTTCCGTTTGTCTGTCTGTCACCAGGCTGTATCTCATGAAACGTGATAGCTAGACAGTTGAAATTTTCGCAGATGATGTATTTCTGTTGCCGTTAATGAATATTTAAGGAGAGATCCCATACAACAGACGTGATTTTTTTCGTTTTTTGCTCGATATTGTGATATGGTTTCTAATGTTGTATAGTAACTAGCTGTCCCAGCAAACTTCGTACCACCATAAAAAAATAGGGGTTCGTGGTAGAAGGGTGAAAATTTAGGGTTGTATGTGTAAAAAAATGCCAAAAACAAAATACAGGTTGGACCATCCTTAACATTTAGGGGGATGAAAAATTCTCAGATCTACTGAATATGCATATAAAATTTCACGAAATCGGTCGAGCCGTTTCGGAGCAGTTCAATTACGCACACCGTGACACGAGAATTTTATATATTAGATAGTATGGAACCCTTCGTACGCGAAACCGACTCGCACTTGGCTGTTTTTTAATATGTACTGATGGGTTCGTAATCAGTCTCTGCAATATTAAGACCGCTTCAAACTTCATACTCTTTGAACTTCTTAAAACTATAATGATTTTATGTTCTAAAATCAATAAATTCGCGAAGTTAGGCAGTGCTTAAACATTATACCTACTTAATTATATAATATAAGGGCTTCTAGTAGTGCTAGCATATACTTTTGGTACTCATCCAAGCCCATGTAGAACGTTCCAGACATCGACTATAAAATAAATCTGGCTCGTAATAAAACAGTTGCGTTATTAGGAAATAACGGTGAAGTATCTATTTGTTTACGAATTGAACTGACTTATAGTACTGTTTTGCGTGTCCCATGTATTTGACCTAACGTAAATATGAATCAATAGGTACCACTATACAAATTGTTTCTTATTATACCTACTCAATTGGAATAAGTGCTTATAAAGGATATTTTTATTTCTGTGTTTGGCCACGTTTATACAAAGTGGAACTACTTCTTTCTTCTCGATATTTATTTGCCATTATGTACCATTCTAGCTACTAGAATTTTGTGAAAACAGCTTCGGTTGCCTTCAAATCTTACTCACTATTAAAAACACAACAACACTAAAAGGCGGAGTCCTATCACAATGTTTCTCTTTTGTTAGGTGGATTATTTCTATCTCATGTTTTTTTTTAAAATCGGGTCAAGTTTATAACGAAATCATTGACGTTTCCTTAACGGGATATTCTTTCGCATTTCTCGGAAAATCTATTTCCGGAGCCAAGTTCAAATAAAATACCTATTATTGAGGTAATAATTATTGAGTCACTTCCAATTTCTAAACGGAATAGATAAAGTATATCCGAATAATTTAAAACAATCAAAGCTCACTACACATTTTTTGGCTAAATATAAGAAATGAATGACTGTAAAAACGTGAGTAGTTTTTTCTTGAAATTTCGCGACATAGGTAAGTATAACAAAATTAATAGCAATAACAATGTTACGATTGAATTAAGTATAAAGTTTTTAACGATGGGATTTCATAAACATAATATATACCCGAAAGAGATTACCGAGCAAATTCGTGAAGTTTTTGCTTGAAAGTCAGTAGGTACCTACAGTAAGTTCCTGGCGTAAATATTCAACAGATATGTCTTCAACATTGATTCTTCATAATTAATGTGCGATGCTCGCTCCTGTATTAATATTTATACTAAGAAACCACCATTCCCAGGGTAAAAGGCCTGTTTTTCAACCCAGCATGTGTAATAATAACAAAAGGATCTACCTACTATGCAGAATGATAACGCCTATTAAATTTAATTTTGTTTGTATGCCCAAGTATCTGAATGTCGGTATACCTTTTTTTCTTGTTGACGGTGGAAAATCCATTTACGGACCATACCGCGCGCTTGCCAGGCGCGACGTGTGTGGGACTCCTTGTCGCGGAACAACGCCGGTCCTACCCACTAAAAACCACCGGTACCCTCCTAGGCCCTTATGGGGGCGCTCAGGGATCGGCACCACTACACCAGAGCGTCCCCGGGCTGGCCCGGCCCAACGGTGGACCGGGCGACGCGCATGTGGGGGATTACTCTAGGGTACTAGGTAATCCCCAGACGGAATGGCCTATGCCGAATGGCACCAAGGACGCGTGGCTGGCATGCCGCGCCCCGACCACCTTAGGGCCGACGAAGACCGGTGATCAAAGTCGCCTGCCTCCTTCGGTCCACCCGTCTACGCCGGAGGGGAGCGGCCAGAGCGTCCTCCTCCAGCTCCCTCCTTCTGCCCCATCACAACCTCGCAGAAAGAGGCGGCAGCCTTCCATGCCCTCTCATTGCCAAGCATGGCACGAACCATATTAGGCAATGAGAGAGCCCCACCGCCAAGCGCCGCCGCCACCAACGTGCGACGCTCGTTTCGCCAGGCCGGGCACTCGATCAACGTGTGCTCGGCCGTGTCGTCGGGAGAGTCGCAGTGATGACACCGCGACGACTCCTCCCGACGGGCGACTCGGTGCAGGTAGTGACCGAAGCACCCATGTCCGGTCAGTAGGTACTGGCCTCACCTGCCGCCTGGGGCTGGTGCACCAGGCTGCCCCGCTGGCGCCTTACCCACTCCCCTCCAACACCGGACGAATCGCCTCGATCGTCCGGGGCCAGCGGCTGGGTTGGCGAGTGCCTTCCCCTATCGGCACAGAGCCTCCCTCTGCGTCTGGGTGCGGACACGTTCGATCTCCTCCCGATCGGACTGCACTACTTTAAACTATACCTACGAGGAAATCACACTAATATTATAAAGGCGAAAGTTTGTGCGTTACACATGCATGTTTGTTACTTCTTCAAGTCTAAATGGCAGGAGCGATTTTAATAAAATTTGGTATGGAATTAGCTGACACCCTGGATTAACACATAGGCTACGTTTTACTGCGGGAAAATATTCGTAATAAACCGAGGGCAATACCGCGGGGCACAGCTAGTAAAAGATAAATTCTTCATTTAAATATTAATAATAAATTTGTTAAAGTTATTAATACTTAATGTAATACTTTTCCCTGGATATTATATTAGTTTCTGGATTTCAAGAGTAATATGTGTTGTTCTGACTGTTTGGGTAGCTTCTTTTAATTCTGAGTAGTATCAATCTTTCTTAAACTATTAATATTAGACGCCATTTTGAGGAAATTGAAAAACAAATCAAAAACTTTAGGTAAAGAACAGTTTTTTGTAATAATTATTATGTATAACAGTGAATAGAGGAAGCAATATTTATCTTTATATCCAGTTACCGCCTGCCCTGTGTACACACACAAACCGGTTTTCATGGTTTTAACAATTTTGACATCTTATCAATTCACTATTAGTATTGGTTGGCATACTAAGTGCCGCTTGTGGGAATGCACAACAATCGTGATAATGACTTACGTTATGTGCAATCGCAGCGATATGCCATTAAATGTATTTTGCTATTTAGCGGTTCCCAATTTTATAAAAAACACGAAAACAAATTTCTCTCTTTCTATTATCATTATTTTTCTTTTGCATACTATAAACTTTTTATAGGTTTTTCTATATAGTGCAGTCATTTAGTGAGAAATAAAGTGGTTACCTGGAAAGTTTTCCGGTAATGAGTTGAAATTAAATGCCACAGGTTGCATGAATAATGAGTAATGACCAAAGCGCG